ACCTAAAGTGTCTGGTATCAATTGGGGGGAACCTCAATGTGGTTTTTTTTTCTTCTTCTTCTGCAGACTAAAGGGCAAACAAAGTATTTTTTTTTTTTGTCTGTCACTTTGCTGCAACGAATAATACAACCCATCAAAATGAACGGCTGCGTTAACTTCACTTGCATTGCCTTTAGTACATCTGTTAAAACACAGTAACAGTAGAAATGGACCTTTTAATGGAAGTGCAATATTTTAAAAAGATTCCAAATTGTAATTACATTGGCAGCTTCCGCTTCTATGAAATTGTACTCAGTAAGTTTAGGTCTGCTCTAATCCTTGCCGCCTTTTTATTCTTGTGAACATTACATATGTAGTGGTCCAACAAGTTTAAAATTCTATAAATATCAGAATGTGTATTTCATACGCTAGTATGAGTGCAAAGGCAGCACTTTTCCTACACTGAAATCGGAGAATTTCTCTTTTAACCCTTCATGCCTCTTTTCTTCTTAAAATGTGTTGCATGCAGTCTTGCTTGTTTTGAACTTTTCCTTTTTGCAGCAGAATAAGCCTCTTTGGGGTTGTTTGTCCTTTAATTTAAGGCAGAACTCTAGAAGCTTACATCTACCACCCCATGCAACAGGGGTGGGCAAACTCCAGCCGAGGTGACCTTACAAATCCCATCAGTCTCTGGGAGTCATGCCTGTGGCTGAGAATCTTGTAGTGCCTCATGAGATTTGTAGTTCCACAACAGCTGGAGGCCCACCCCTGCCATAGAATAAAATAACATTGAGCCTTTTGAAAAGCTGGCAGGCGGACCCGATTCGAAAAGGGAGCCTTAGTTACCTAAAAGCAGATGACCTTTTTTGTTTTCTTCACTCCAGGGCTCAGGCAGACGGCGCAAATGCAGGTCTATTGGCACACTGCATATAATAGATTTGTATTTGTGGCACTCAGGAGCCCCAGTTGCTGTGTCTTTCTGTCGCTAGGAATGTATACACAGAAAATGCTGTACACGCGTAACTCCTGTACCATGTAAATGCCAGTGCCAGCCTCACTACCCACGTACAACTTTTTCTGTTGATACATTGCTATAGACAGGAAAATGCAGCAGTTGGGGCTCCTGGGTGCCATTAATACAGGTATGTGTGATAGAGATAGATAGATAGATATATTATCTATCTATCTATCTAACACACATGCTGGTAATAATGTATAATGTATTGTAGAATAACGCAGTCCAGCTAGGAGTATTCAAGAACGTAAAACACATTGCAAGCAGACAGGAAGCATGTTGTATGAGTAGTTACAATAACATGCTAGTTTTGTCTTTGAGAGTTGAAAAATGCTCAGTAGACCAGCTTACCACGAGAGACTTGCATCTATACCTAGGACATTTGTGTGCGATCAGATGCAATTAAAGTGCATTTCCAACCATCCCCCCCCTTCTTCTTTTTTTTTTCTTCTTCTTTCTGTCTGCATCCAGTCGAAAACCTTTCCTGTCCCAGAGACCCAGCAGGGCTGGCCAGTGACAGGAGAAGCAGCAGATTAATGAGCTCATCCGTGTGTCGCTCTGCTCTCTCCTCCTATACACTTTCTAAATGTACTGCAGCCCGGTTGGCTTTTTGTTCTGCTTCTCTCTCCACTCTGAGCTCTGCTGTACAGTGGACTGTAAGATGCTGATACTGAGTCAAATAAATTGCTTGGATTTAAAAAAATACATTTGTTGGTGTATTGATGAATACTGAGGTGTACTCCATTTGTCTTTTTATTTATATATATATATATATATATATATATATAATCTGCCTAGAGCTCAGCTTTTACTTGTACAAATACATTGAAAAGCCCATACACTGAAGCAGAAAAGACATAAGCACCTTCCTTCCTTTTGACGGTACACATACTGTCAGAAAACCTTTGATTGATGAGAGACAGCTTCATTTGTACTTGTGATTTACCTGATTTTGTCAGTATCTTTCTTGAAGTCTGCGTTCATAACCTTTTTAATATCTTCCTCAGGCATCAGTGGCAACAGTTACATGGGCTGGTCAATAGACTTGTCAGTGGGTCCATTGTACTTAGTGCAACTGTCACAGTTCACCACAAATTATACATGTAGATGGCTAAGATTTATTTAACTCCAGTTTACTGCTTTCCATACTTTAGTAAATGATACCTTCAAGTCTATTCATTATTGACTAGTATAGTAATACTCCAAACAATTTTAGTGTTTTCGGTTTTGTTTGTTTTTATATTTAGGAAAGAATGGGAAGGGGTTGGATACTGTTGGGATTTTATAGTAGTCTGTGCATTTGGAAGGTATCGTTTTGAAATTCTCTTTTAGTGGAAATCTCCACACTCTATTTTTGTCCTAGTGACGGCTAAAAGCCTTAGATCTCTTCCCACAGGTCCCAGCCCTTACCTGCTTTATCTGGTTCTGTTTGGCTATTCTGTCAGAATACAAAAGAAACAGCAGAGATTCCTTGACCAACACGTTCGTAGTGTAGATGGGGGAATCTGCTCCTATTTTTGGTCACCGGAAATCATGTTTGTGCTCACCCTACTTTGATCATTTGCTGTCAGGATATGCCATTCTGTGTTTGTACCTGCCCTCACTAGTGACAGCTATCGCACACAGAGAAGTGGAATTTTTGTATGTGTGTATTTTTTGTTTTGTTTTTTCCCCTTAACATTTTAATGGTGTTTTGTGTGACCATTTTAGATGTAAATATTGTTTTGTGGAGTCCTTTAAAATCTTTTAATTGAGAATTCTAAAATGAAACCTCCTTTTTTAATTCAGTTATTTTTTTTTTTTTCAGGCAGAGCATACTTAATGAAAAGGGGGAAATGGATCTGCCAAACCATGCCAAACAACTGCTGCTTCAGCTGAATCAGCAACGAGCCAAAGGTTTCCTGTGTGATGTCATCATTGTGGTGGAAAATGCCCTGTTCCGAGCTCACAAGAACATCCTTGCCGCCAGCAGCATGTACTTTAAGTCTCTTGTTCTCCATGACAACCTGATCAATCTGGATACCGACATGGTCAATCCAGCAGTTTTCCGTCAGATTTTGGACTTTATCTACACTGGTAAACTCTTGACATCTGACCAGCCAGGAGAGCAGAACTTCAATGCTCTTCTAACTGCAGCAAGCTACCTCCAACTCCACGACTTGGCAACTCTTTGCAGGAAGAAGTTGAAGCGTGTTGGGAAGCCATTTGTTGGAAAGCTCGGCGTGCCCAGCATAGGCCGGGTTGGAAGGAGTCACAGGCTCTCTGCTACCCAACTTGCTCACATGCGATTCTCTGGCTCATCAGATGATAACAAGGGCTCCAACTCAAATGAGCTTTCCAATACTGCAGGGCAAGATGAAGATGTGTTTATCAACAACTCTAACCAGGAGAATAGCCACCCTTTAAATCGAGGTACAGGGAGCAACAACAGCCTTCATAACAGCACTAATGGGAGTGACCATGAGCTAGGCCTTGACCTTTCCAAGAAAAGCCCGTCCCTACCTGCACAGGAAGAGAATGTACAAACAGATAGTCGTGCAGGTTCTCCCCAATCTGCCTCAGCATCTGTAGCCAACAGTGCCTCATATGAAGAATCCTCCCTCCAAAAAAGAGACAGTGAACCAATGGAAGTGGAGGAAAACCACTCTGAATCCGGGCCAAAGAAAATCCTTCGCCACTGTCCCCGTAAAAAGGAGTGGGACAGGAAAGAAGGAGAATTGTCTCCAGAGGAACGAGGGGAATCTATGCCCAATGGAGTTATTGTTGGGCCTATGTCAAAAGAGAGAAATTCTGGAGGAGGCTATGCTTCAGAAAAGAGTTTCCAGTGTAAAGAGGAAGTGGAAAATGGCAAAGACAACAGTGAGGAGAGTGGGCATAGCGAGACTGAGACTGAACCTCCTAGTGCCAACTATGTTTACCGACAAGATGGATTTGAGACTGTGCCATTTGGAGACAACTTGTATGTCTGTATCCCCTGTGGAAAGGGGTTTCCTAATTCAGAACAACTGAATGCTCATGTGGAAACGCACACTGAAGAGGAGCTATATATCAAAGAGGAAGATACCTACTGCAAAGAGGAAGCAGAGGATCTGTCAACTCCCAACACTACCTTTCCAAATGAATCACGGCCATTCAAGTGCTCAGTGTGTGAGAGAAGCTACAAGGATCCAGCCACCCTTCGACAGCATGAGAAAACGCACTGGCTGACCCGTCCTTTCCCCTGTAATATCTGTGGCAAAATGTTCACACAGCGAGGAACCATGACCCGCCATATGAGGAGTCACCTGGGCCTCAAACCTTTTGCTTGTGACGAGTGTGGGATGCGCTTTACAAGGCAATATCGACTGACCGAGCACATGCGTGTCCACTCAGGGGAAAAGCCCTATGAATGTCAACTCTGCGGGGGAAAATTCACCCAGCAGCGCAATCTGATCAGTCACTTGCGTATGCACACCTCCCCATTATAAACCAAAGACTCTTATGACATCCTAAAGAATGTGCTTCTCTTGTGCACACAAACACACACAAACCAATTTACCTTCCTGATGACTTGCTGCTTTATGGGTACCTGTTTTCCAGTTGTATCAGAGATGGTAGAAAGGGGGTGCAATGCCTCACCTGAGCTTTAACGTGTAATGAATAATGACAACATTTCAACATGTGGCACAGTGGAAGCAAATTGTACATCATCTTCAGTTTACACCACGAAGAGTAAATTACATCCCCAACACTCTTTTGCCTCTACATCTTTGACACCTAAACAAAGACTTTAAAGACCCTCTTGCCAAGAAATGGCCATTGTGATGCTTGCAGATTTACCAAATTCTATTCTGAGCATTGCTTTCGTGGCATTTTAACAGTGAAGATCACATTGGATTTAAGTGTCTTGGTGTAGGGGCATTTGGTCCAGTTTTACTGAAGGCATGCTGTTACGCATGCTGTGATGTTCACCTTTCTACATCCTGGCCCTGCCTACGTCTGTCCAGCCTTAAGAGGTGCTGGCCTCCTAGTTATATCCATGAATGAAAACCAAGGAAACCTCACAACTCCCTCTCCTGGTTACCACTGTGGGCATCTGGATAGGTTCCTGCCAAGTTGCCCCTTTCTTACACCAATGTATAGATGGCTGAAGGAGGGCTGGCACTTTTCTGGGGCTCTTGGTATCCCGTGACTGTGAATTCTTTGCATGTTCCCTCTTGGTACCTTTCTTCTTTCTGAAGGCCCTTTTTCCACAGACTGGAAACTAACATTGCCCAACAGTTGCACCCATGTGAGCCAGTGGGAGGGAGGTTCTTTGTTTTGCCTCCCTCTTTTGTTTTCCTGTCTGTAATAGGTACTTGTCTCAGTGCTGGGCTGTGGGAGACTGTCTGAATTACATTTTGAATCTGTGAATTTTTGAACTGGAAGTTTAGGGTTATTTTGGGGTGGTGGGTTAGGATTCTTTCTTTTCATTACTCACTTTTTACATTTTATTGAGCTTCTCGTGTAAAGATGAGCTCTGGAACAGACGCATCATAACTCCTTCTGTCTTGCAGAGGGCACCCAGTACTTTGTAACAGTGCTCAATGCCCTGTTAACATGACCCACAAAGTGTTAAAATCATAGGAGGTTATTGTTTTCTCCACCCCACACACCTCCAAAATATAGGAAACTATCCTCTTTACTGCCAGACTGGCTTCCAGTTGTAGCCTATCTGTTAGGAAAGAAGGTTCTCACCATGTTGCTGTTTATGGTGACTTGTCACCTATTAGGTACTCCTGTGTGTGTGTGTATACGTGTGTGTGTATGCGTCCGTGTGCGTGTCAGCCTGTTGTGGCTGTGTATGTAGACGTGGAAGGATGCGATGGACTGGTCACTTTTGCTACCTCTTGAACTCTTGACAAGTGAGATGCTTTTACTAAGAAGCTTTTGCATAGGTTTTTTTTTTTTTTCTTTCATGTAAGTATATGTATAAGGTTAGAACATTTAAATTAAATGGAAAGCATTCAAAACATAAGACTGTCAGGAATTTGCCATACTCTACATGTTACGGCTATGAATAGATCCAAAAATGAACAGAACCCAAAGAGTTCCAATCTGAAATAAACCAAAATAATAACCAAACCCTTTTCCCTAGATGGAAAGCACCTCTTGCTTCAGAGGTGTACACAGCTGTGACTCCCAAAGTGTTACATGGTCTCCTGATAGCTGTGCAAATTATGGCCAGCCGCTGTTAGAAATGCATCAGAATCCTGAATGTACCAAATATCCGTGTACCCTTTCAAACTATGGCCACATTACAAATGTCAAGTTTACACTTTTCTTTTTTTTTAAGACCAAAACTATCAAACTAAAGAAGTCAGGTTAAGCTGAAAATGTAAATGTCGTGTTTTTTTTTTTGTTTTTTTTTTAATAAAAGTTCTGTCCTATGACCTAAAGTAATTTGATAAAATAGACAAAGTGAGGCCTAAATATATGTTCTCCCCCAATTTGTAGCCAAGAAACCAGTGTTTATATCTAAACTGTCCCCAAAACAAAATCCCAACAAAGCTCCTGAAATGCTGAAAAACTCTGACATGCACCAAGTCTCTTTGGCTTCCCATCCTCCTCCTTCCCATCCATCACTGCAGGCAAATCTGTATTCACAAAAAATAGATGAAACCTGGTATAGAGACATCTAAAATCCAGCACCCAGACATTTCAAGGATGTGCAGATTGCTAAGTGCATTGATCCCTGCAAATAGATGCCAGGACTCCTATGCCAACTATTCAGCTTGCCAGAGGAGCTCCTTTTGCATGTGGCATATATCAGCAGATCCAAACTTTTTTTTCTTTCTACTATAAAACGGCCTTGTTGTTGTATGTTGCTTTTTTAAAATGAAATCTGGAGTTCTTTAAACTAGCAACATTTTCATCGGTCTGCTCCCATGTTTACTGCGATTTTTCCTTGATCTAAGCAGTGACTTTTGTAGTTAAGATCTTTGTAGCTTGATTAATCATGGAATCTGTTATCCTGGTGATGTATCCGGTATCTGATTCACGCAATGTCTCTTTAGTTGGAAGTAGATGATTTGCATTCCACATTATTGTCCGTTACTGTTAGTTGACTCATAATCTGGTCACAATCCAATCCAGTAGTTTACATTTGTGTAGTTCAGTGTGTGGGAAATGAGTACAGACGATTCAGGGCCAAAGATGAAATCTTCTGTGGCTGCTGATATTTCACCAATTTTCTCATATTTAATTTGTATCTCTGAGCAGCAACGTATTGATCTATAATCGGTTGATCTGAAATGGCAAGTTCGAGCAGGCTGCTGAAAGCTGTACTCTATAATTGTTTAAGTCAACTGCTCGTTATAAAATAACTCCCCTGTCTAATAGCTATTCTGTGGTGCCGCTACTTGCCTTTCTTACTCTTGTCTACCACCCCGATCCATTCTACAACCCCAGTAAAATCCTGCTATCACCAGGTATAGGGTGCATACATGTCGCTGCCTTTCCACAAAGCCTTGCTGAGTGGCAGTACTGACCATATGGCATACTTGGTCTTTGTAGGGGCCACAGTCATGAGTGGGAAAGAAAGGAACCTTCAACACAGCCAGGAGGGGATCATTTTCAAATTTGTGTAATACAAGTTTACTTTAAATGAATTGCAGTCTTTGAGTAGTGCAGGCTGAGTTTAAAAAGACCATCATATATAAGGGATAGTATGATAAGGATAGGGATGATTGCATTTACAAATGAGAACAAGTGGTCCAGGTTACATAATGGCCTTTTGGTAAATGTCACATGTCTTCTTTTTGAAGCTGCTACTGCACAGCTAGGGGACATGCCCCCTTCCCTTCGTCCTACATTAATCCTACAATGAGTGTACACCATACAGGTGCGTGACATAAAAATGCAGCAATCCTACGCTTGTCCAGAACACAGGGTGTTAGAACTTTGTACGTTAAATGCAATTTTAAAAGAGAAACCATAAACCCTGCAATATATTTGCATACAGCAGACTTCATAGGAAAAAGGCATTGCCTTCTGTTGGGCTATTATGCAAGTTGGATTGCTTTTTCTTAAGGTACAACCCCATACAGCTACATAGAAACCTCATCGGTTCTGCCTGCAGTTCAGCCACTTTCGATGGCAGTGCTCTGCATTATTTTAATTCCCTTTTAGTCTTGTATGAAAACTACTTCAGTTCAAATAACAGCTCCAGGACTGTAGGTAGCAGCTAAACTGTGGACAAAGCGGAGATTTCTCTGCATTTGGTTCACCAAAAGAAATGCGGGATAGAAGTGTGACTTCTCTATTACAGTTATCTTTCCAAACACCGCAGACAACAACTTTGAGGAGTTCTTCTTTACCATGTAGTACACATTAACAAAAGAGCACAAAATGAGTCCCTCAGTCTGTTATTATCATACATGGTTATGGGACTGAACTTTTATCAAGTGTTTTCAATCGGGGGAGATCTGTTGCTTTCCACCAGGTATATCTGTCACACAGACCGCCTTATTTATTAAAGCATCACACATTTTCTACTGTACTGAATGGAAGCACCATTAATTTTTTTCTCCCCTCTCCCTTCCTCCTCAGCAACTAAAGGCTCAAGCTGGAAATACACTGCTCAGATGTCCTCAATGTCTTGCTGGCTTGGGCAAAGTTAGAGCTGTGTTTGTTGCCCTGTTAGCACTACTAAGTTTGACAAAAGTCGGTTTATCTGTTGACTTTTGTAGAAGGAGCCGTGCTTAAAATTGTCAGCCGATCAGTGACAGCAGCTGCGGTTGGAGA